TGTTTGGTTTTCGACCTATGACTACTTGTTGGAAACGATCGCTGGAATTCCATCAGACATCTATTTAATCCCATCCTGTTCGAGTAAGAACTTGCTCGCTCCCAGTTCCCGTAAGTATATTTATTAACCTTTAATTTTGTTATTTAGCTCACTGTCTTTTCAAGAGAAACCTCAGACAGTATAACAAAGGTTGTAATATAAGAGGCACCTTGTAATTCATCTAGAGCGTAGGCTGAAGATCCTAAAATGTGATCAGGTCTGTATGTCAACTTAAAAACTCATAAAGAAACTCTTCAAACCACAATATGGTAATTTCAGCAGATAATGTTATGTGTTTGGACCATTTAATGGTTATTCCAATTTCTTAATGGGACCTCAGTTTAACTGTTTTGTGGGAATATTTGATCGCCCTAGGTCATCTGCGTGGTGATTTTTGAATTGGTCATACGGGTTAAAATCTGTTCGTCGTTTTCAGGATTCACTTTTATTGTTCCATCCATTTGACCAAAACAAAGAATTCCAATACATATAGTTCACATTTTTAGCGTGTGACTGCCTGATGTCGTCTGCAGTTAAAGTTTTTACTCTTGAGGAGATCAGGAAGCATAATAAACCAAACGACCTCTGGATTGTGATTCATGATAAAGTATATGATTTGACAAAGTTCGCATCTGAAGTAAGTCTACATACAAGTACATGGTGAAAAAATAATGCTGATGTAAGCGCTACAACTAGAGTTTAAGTTTGACGTCATAATTCAGGGAAACCCTGTAGATAAAAACCTGGACAGCGACTATTAAGAAACAAGTGGTAATTTCTCTAGTGTATTTCAGTAAATTCCGAATTACTCCGAAAACCGGGTTTAAAAACAAGACTAGCGGACTTTGGTAAGCCGATAATGCTGCTCATCATGATGCAAATGTCATACACCCGCAATAACAAAACACAAAATGTGCTTTCAAGGGTTCCTCCCTTCTGCAAAGATAGTGAATAAAATAGTTTAGCAAGTTAACATTCTTAGCGGAGTTGAATTCTTTCTCCTTCCCTACGACTGGTGAATAGTCCTTAATACTGATTCGTATCCTTACTCAATTACTTATTTACGCCTGTTACTCCTAATGGGGCATAGGCCGCAAACCAGTGTTTTCCCACCCCGTTCTGTCCTGAGCTTCCCTTTCCAGTTCTGTCCAATTTTTGTTCATTCTTCTCGTGTCTGCTTCTGTTTCTTGGTCTTCCTCTTTTCCTTTATCCTTGGGGGTTCCAAGCGAGGACTTGACTTGCAACGCAGTTGGGTGCTTTCCGCAATGTGTGTCCTACACACTCCTTGCGCCTCTTCCTGATTTATTCCTACACTGGAATTTGGTTTGTTCTTCCCCACATTAGGTTGTCGCTGATGGTGTCTGGACAACGGATCTGAAGTAGAATTGTCTGGACATTTGTATTGGAAATCCCGATTTAGGTGTTGGTTGATAGTTGTTTGGAGTTCCAAATGTTCTTCGATTGTAGAAATGCTGTCCTTGCTTTGTCGATACGTACCTTCACATCTGCATCAGATCCACCTTGCTCGCTAATGCTGCTGCCTAAATACGTAGAGCTTTTTACATCCTCAAAGGCATCCCCATAAAGAGTGGTTTGGCTGGCTCGTGTTGTGTTATATCGGGGAATCTTGATTTTCCCTTTATGCATGTTGAGACCTGCTGCTGAGGACGCTGCTATACTGGTCGTCTTCTCTTGCATTTTCTGTTGCGTGTGCGTTAGAAGAGCCAGATCGTCCAGCTGCATCCTGGCTGTCCGCTGTATGCCGTTTTTCGCTCCAGATGTTGACGTCTTCATCATTCAGTCGATCACCAGGTGAATGAGCTCAACCAAATTAAATGTAAGCGAACTCGAATGTACGTGGAGGAACTACAAGCTGACGCTATAATTAGGTATCAATTTAAAAAACATAATACAGTTAAGTAGAAAACATAGAAATTGCAATAAATGTACAAATGTAGAAACTGTAATAAAATACTATTATTATCATCCCAAAATAGAATCAAACAGAGTACTAAAATATTGCACAGAAAGAGTCAGTAAGAACACATTACAATTATGTACATGGAGTGATTTTCCCAAAAAAGCCTTCGAAATGGATTAGACACCCAGCTTGCCGGAGCCTGAGTTTCTCATATTTCAGGTCTTAAGGGAAAAACTCCCAACGATCGTGCTACTGCCGAGCTTCCGGTAAAACATTTATTAGTCACATGTAGTCTAATGTTATAACAGCTTCACCTGTACCTAAAGTGCAATTTCTGAAGTCAGCTTGTGTTCTACTCGGGTGTTCTATAAACGAGGACACTTCTCCATCCTCATTCATGTTTAAACCTATTACATTTAACTTAGTGGCTTTAATTTTGTCAACACCGCTTAGTATGATGTTCTCACATTCACTGAGTGAAAATGCAGTCTAAAACAACTGGGAGCTGGCTCCTATCACATGTACGTTCACGTATAAATTACCTGAGGAATGCAAGGAATAGATGGACAGACTACCTCTCAAAAGCTGTTGATAAAGTTGATCATATATGTCTCATCCACAAGCTCAAACGTTTAGGTATCAAGCAGTCTTCAATTGTTTGGCTAGCTTTGCTTCTAAATAATCGACACTTTAGCATTAAAGTCAATCTTTGTTTGTGGCACATTACAGAATATCCTGGAGGAATCTATCAGAGTTCAGTACTAGGAACACTTCTGTTAGTAATCTATATAAATGAAACTCCTAAAAGAGAATCCTCTGAGATTTTATAGTTCACTGAAGAGAGAGAGAGCTTGCAGCCAAGACGGCAGATTGGCACTTCAATCCGATCTGATTCAAGATAATAGTCGGGTGACATGCTGCAGACTATGTGTACAACTTAGGTAACTCTCCTCTGTAAGTGTTTGACAATGAAAAACATCTGGCAGTCTTGGTTAATTTAAATCTAAGGTCTTATGCTAGCTGTAACAAAAATGCCTTTCGAGTAAGACTTGCACTGGTAACACTGAAGCGCATTTATGGTCAGTTTGATAGTAGAACGTTCCACCCACTACTTGACTGATTCATCCGAGTCCATTTAGAGTATGGAAATAAAGTGTTCCTTACGTCACTAAAAAGCAAGAAAAAACTGGGAAGTATCCAAACGTGATACACGAAATCAGTTCGAGGACTGAAATCGAAAACTTGTGAAGAGCGCCACAACTATAAGCGTCTCAGAGCCAAACTTCTAATTACTTATAGAATCCTGAAGGCTAATAAATATCTCATAAAATGCGTATTCTGATACTCAACACTAACCTCAGAGGAAATACCTAGAAAATAGAAGCCTAAAGCAACAAAATGGACCGTATCCACACTTCTTTATCTGTAGTCGAATTCCGGAATTTTTTGCCGGGTGACTTGGTTTAAGTGACTTCCTCGGAGTTATTCATGAAGAAATTTTATATATTTTCGCAGTATTTCATTGTGGTTTACTAGTATTTTAACCTTGGAAGTGTCTGTAAAGTATTCAGGGTTGACTTATCTGGCGTCTAAAATATATACGGTCTATCTTCATAAATGGTCTATCTACAGCTCAATGTCATAGCACTGGCTTCATATAACCGAAAATCTATCTCTTTCAACAAATCGCACTTTATAGGTTACTAAAACCCTCATCTAGCGAATCTACAATTTTACTAAAGCGAATGCTGGGTTATACATTAATTTTGAAGTTTACTTTATCCGTCTTCTTCCTGTAAAAGGATCGTTATTCTAAATAGTCTTGGTTTAATAACCACAGAAAGCCTCCACATGAGGCCGAACCATGTAGGGAACGCAGCCAAGGCAAATGCGACTCTTCACTTTATGCGAAGACAGCTTGGTGCAATCACCCCAGATTTATTCTTAACTCTATTTAAGACGTAAGCGCGCCCACACCTGGAGGTCCACAACGTCATCGCGCCCCCTCTCCTTAAAAGAGACATAAATCTCTTGGATCTAGTGCAGTGACGAGCAACGAAATGGATGATAGGGTTGAAAAATAAGCCTTACGAAGATATACTGAGCCACAGGAGAATCAGAGGTGATTTGATTATGGCGTACAACATATCGAGCACGCCAAACCATCCAAAAGTGAGCATCTGACCGATACATCACCACTACTCCCCTCGAGGAAATCCTCGAAAGATTGTACATCAAAGAGCAAATACTCAGGTTCGTGCACACATTTTCTCATTGCGACTCATAGCAATTTGGAATGCTCTCCAAGCCGAGGTGACCGCAGCCCTCTCAGTGGACTGCTTTAAGGAGAGAGTTGATAATCACGTAATCACATACGGATTATCATCTCCCTTGTGGGCCATCTGTGCCTGATCCACATCTTGAAGCCTGCTAGTTCTTATCACTGCCATCTCCTCAGATTATTAACTTAATCTATCTCGCCTATTATCTGTGTTTCCTCTTCCTTGCTTACACTTCGGTCCTCTCTCAAAATCTTCACTACCAATAAATAAACTAAATTATCTATTGATCAGCTCAGTTCTGAAATCTTATTCATATTAGCATTAGAATTTTGTTCCTATCACTCTCCACATTGCAACTGACTGGTAGTGTGATAACTGATGGTATCCAGAAACCATACTGCCCTCAAACAAACGTTTTCATTCAAATCCCGAGACAAACAAACTCACAACCAACTGCCAATCGACTAGAATTAGACAGTTGAATGGCTAGACCCCCATTCATTGGAAATTACCGAACACCTGGAATCTTACCAAAAGGACAAGAATCAAGCACAAAGAAAAGGAATTGGATATTGGATTTCAAGGACTGCTGTGCATCGTGCACTGGTTTTTCAAATCGTTTTTTGCTTGTTTCTGCCATTTTTTCGACCTCGTAGGTTTAAACTCAGCGAATATAAGCATTATTTTACGGTATACGGAAGTTGAACAAGTGTAGGCTAAAATCTGGTCCTTAATCAACTGAACACTTTCGCTGTAACCTTGAATCGGGTCACAAGTCTGAGGCAACTTTTTGAAATCACACATGGTTGTCACAATGGCATCACCTGGCGACTTCTCGAATTTTAACATTTCTGAAATAATTATTAAAAAGCTCCACGCCCGAAGTATTTCTGAACTATTTCCTGTACAGTTTAAAACATACGACGCCATATCGTCGGGTAAAGATGCGGTTGTGTTGGCAAGTAAGTCAGGATCTGTTAAATAGTTTCAGGAACCGGCACGGGGAAAACTTTGGCATTCTCTTTACCATTAGTTAATTTGCTCATAGAAAAACAAGGGTCTCTTCCGCGCAGCCCTGTGGTTCTTGTACTAGCTCCAACTAGAGAACTAGTGGCTCAAATAGCCACTGATTTCGAGTCGATCTGTACAGAACGCATTAAAGTAACTTCAGTATACGGAGGGGTCCCTTATAAACAACAGCGTAAGTTCAAATTCGCGTGATGTAGATGAATAGGTGACGCTTTTCGTTTTGGTACTCAAATTGTAATTGGTACTCCTGGCCGAATGATTGACCTTTTGGATAAAAACATTTTGAATTTATCTAGCATTCAGCACGTAGTCCTCGATGAAGTGGATCGTATGTTAGACATGGGGTTCTCCAAAGACGTTGAAAGAATCTTGTCAGAGATTTATAACAACGAAGCCTCTGAAAAACCTCAGACTCTTCTCTTTTCAGCTACAATGCCTTCATGGGTTTCGGACATATCAAAAAATTATCTTTCAGATGATGCCTTACACTTATCCTTAATAGATGAACAAGAAACAAAGACTTCCACTAATGTCACGGTATTCGCAACTTTTATGTAACTATTTCCTTAGCATCTAGCCCTTCTCTGTCCTCATGAATCACGTGCATCTACATTATCAGATGTAATAAAAGTTTATTGCAAAAACCGAAATTCAAGGTGCATTGTGTTTTGTGAACGCAAGAAGGATGCAGACGAATTGGCAGCTAACGATGCTATGTCGACAGATTGTCATGTTCTTCATGGAGATGTTCCGCAAGACAAACGCGAGTTAGTTCTTCAAGTAAGTCTTCTGTACAAAATAAGCTGACTAGAGAGAACCAGGCTGAACGTTGATGTACAGACCACAGTCACATTACGTTAGGTCCTGGAACATAGACGCTTGTTCAGACGTCCAACAGTAGTATTCTCCGACCTTAAGGTGGAGTTTGACTCACTCGACCGTGAGGTTCTGTGCAGTGTTTGTCGCTGAAAGGAGTTGTAGAAAAGTACAAGCTCTATACTCGAACACCACTGGTCAAGTAAGGGCTCATGGCTAACTGTTATCTGAATTCTTTGCTCCAGGTGGTGTCTGTCAGGGCTGTCCGTCTCTTCATTCCTGTTTAGCTTTATCGTAGAAAAACTTTTAGAGTTAACATTAAGCTGCTCAGATTTTTCAGGGGCTGATCTACCAGGAACGTCGCCTACTGACTTAGAATATGCCGATGACGTAGTTCTGTTCAGTGAAGACGCTGACAAAATGCAGTCTTCTGACTACCCTAAGCAACAATGCAAGCATGTTCGGGATGCGGTTTTCCCCCTCGAAATGCAAAATGTCGCTTCAAGATTGGGTTGCATCGGCGTCTAAACTAGTAATAGTGAGTAAAGTAGTTGGGCGTGTAGATAGCTTCACTTATTTCGGGAGTCTTATCAGTGCTGCTGTCCTGGTGACTGGCGAAATCTCAGCACGGATACAGAAAGCTCGATTGACTTTTGCCAATCTGCGTCACTTATGGCGTAGGCGAGATATCCGTTTTCTGACTAAAGGACGAGTTTACTGCGCAGCAGTTCTCTCCGTCCTATATGGATGCGAAACGGCCGGTAAATTTGAGGATATTTGTAGGTTATTAGTATTCGACTACAGATGTCCTCGAAGCATTGCTCGTGTATCTTTGGATTTCGGAGTAAGCAATGCAGTTGTTAGGAAACGAGTACCAGATAGGAATGGCAGATCGATAGACGAAGAATCGTAACTTCATCAGTTGAGGTGGCCGCCCATAGATTTCGTCCAACCTACTCCTACATCGCAAAATATAGCTCGAGGCAGTCGGTGGTTAGGCATGCGCAGCACATGTCCTAACCGCCTCAACCGAGGAATGGCCTCTACCCTTAACGACCATGTTTCTCAGCCATATAGTAGGACGGAGAGAACTGCTGCGCGGTAAACTCGTCCGTTGGTTAGCAGACGGATGTCTCGCCTACGCCATCAGTGACGGGATTCGGCAAAAGCCAGTCTAGCTCTCTGTATCCGTTACCCTCAATGGAGCATAGGCCACTGATAATCGTTCTCCAAAAAACTCTGTCCTGGGTCTTCCTTTCCACTTCTGTCCAATTTTTGTTCAGTATTCTCGTGTTTATCTCCATTTCTTGGCGTAATGTGGTTTTCGGTCTTCTTACTTTCCTTTAACCTTGAGGGTTCCAAGTGAGTGCTTGTCTTGTCACTCAGTTGGGTACTTTCCTCGCCCAACTATAAATTGCTATTACGGTTTAATTTTAATACCTATTAATCTTCAATTTTGTTGTAGAAATTTCGTGATGGTAAATACAGAACGCTCCTGACGACTAACGTCGCTGCTCGTGGCCTTGATGTACCAAATGTAGATTTGGTTATACAGTGCCATCCTCCACGGGATATTGAAGATTATATCCACCGTTCAGGTCGAACTGGTCGAGCTGATCGGAGTGGTACTTCCATCTGTTTTTATTCTTACAGGGAACGTAGTATGCTTTCCAGGATTGAAAATATGGCGGGTATAACTTTTCGCCGCATATCTGCACCTACCATTAATGACATTACTACTTCTTGGGGTGAAGAAATTTCGAAGTAAATTTAATGCATTAATTTAATTAGCTATTTATAACCGTGACTCGAACATTTAGATAATAATTTTTATCATATCAATTAATTAGAGGCATTTATTTGTATGACGACAAGTTATTTTTCAGTCATCATGCTCTAAATCCTTTTAAACACATTTGACTAAACGAAGTAATTAGTTTGAAAAATTCCAAACTTATGTTTGAGCGTATATTGTTTTATTCGGGCTTGAAAATACTGAATTTTTTCAGTCATATCCTATAACAAACAAAAGCTATACAACTGGAAAGTGTGTATCCAAAGTGCGAAATTGCATTAAATGATTCGCACTTATTTTTCTGTTAGGTGAGTGTTATTAATTTCTCCACTTTGCTCTTCAAAATACCACGTAAAGTTTTCTCCTCTCGTTTACGGCTCGGTTTGTGATCGTTTTGCTAACCAACGACCCATGAAAATACATGTTTACTTTATCGATTAACAATAGTGCGATAAACTAATGCTGCTTCTACCACATGAGATTTTTTGAAGTTTTTCAAAATGTTAGGAAACTTGTTAAAAGCTTACATTCTGCTATTTAAAGAGGGATACAATAACATCTGAAAATAATGCGCAACCACGATATCAAAAAGTGAATTGGTTGTTAACCTGTCACTGTACTTGTATATTCAGCTGCTGTTGATAACTTTCTCATTTTTCATTTAGAACATTCTCCAATGTATCTAAACCTACTTGGTCGACATTTGTACCCTTGGCTTTATCAATCGCCGACCAGCTTGCACAAAATTCGAAAACCAGGAAAATGAAAAATCATTCTTGTGACGATTTAGGGCTTAATGATGATAAAACGCTTGCTCGTAAGCCTAAATCTAAAGATCTACTCCGTGCTCTTTGCTGTGCGCTAGCTTGTCTCAGTGGCAAAGAAGGTGCAGTTGAAAGTCGCTCAGCACTCACAGCTGAGGTAGGTAAGACGGCCTATAAGCTTGAGTTGGGTTTTGTTGCACGAAGCAAGGGATTGGCTTTCGCAACTTTGCGAAAGCACTTGCCAGAAAACATTGTAAATGGCATTTGCAGTCTAAGTTTCATTCGTGGTAAAATGGTGAGTCATTTATTTTAAAAATTTTTGATAAAAATGTGCTATGCTATTTTGACAATATCCAATAGTCGATATGTAGTGTTTGTCAAGGCTGTCTACCGTTTCTTTTACCTAATTTCATTAATGTATTTCTAGAGGTAACTTAAATTGTGAATTTTTAAAGGCTTTGAGTGACTAAGGGGATTTTTTACTTGGTAGACAATGAGTCTCTTATCCCTCTTGGGTATTAGTGCGAAAATGTTTGCAATAAGTTTCCTTTTAATCACTCAATAATGTTTCCAGATCAGTATAACTTTGTGCCTCATGTCATTGTAAGGGTTAAGAATCTAATCACGTTAGTCACTTCCTTTATCCTGTTACTTATCACTGTTCCTAGTGAGTCAATAACTTTTTAAGGACTATGGACTCGGGCCACGTATAACAGACCGAATTTTCGTATGATTCAGGTACAGAACGTATACTGTGTAACATTTTTCTGTTATTTTTTAACTATGAATCATGGCCATGTGTAGGTTGTCAGTATTTAGTCAGCTGTTTTTATGGTATTAGCTGCAAGTGGCGCCATTAATATATAAGGGATACTAGAGTTAGGTGTGTTGTTTATTTCTTAATTTATTTACAGAAATACTGATATAACTGGGCATCAAAATAAATTTGCTCTGTACAAATTAGGAGATAAATTTGTGGAGAAACTGAAGTCGCACAATCAAAATCATTGATTAAAAAACATTGTAATGGAAGAAAGAGTTCAATTACAATACAACTAGAAAAACGTCTTTCGATTAACCAAGTTGCCTACATTTGTTATGAATGTTGCAAAGTCCCGACTGTAGCTGCTACCTTGACGTGGTGGTCAGGCTTGCCTATCGTGATAACCCTACCGAGCTATATTGGCTGGAACATAAGTCCCATGCCAGGCAGGTTGATTGGAGAATGGTGAGACTAAAAGCAGCTACTCAAGGTCTTCTGAGGGTGAAGTCGTACTGCTGACTGTAGAGGGATGTGACAACAGTAACGTGTTTCCCTTGGACAACCAGCATCTGCAGCGATGCTGCCTTCTCACAAGGAAGGAAGGAGTCAGAAAAGGTTGACCCTATAAATGTCACACTTCACCCTACACCAAGGATTTCCGTCTCCGGCGGTAAGGGTTCCCACTAAGGGCTTTTAAGAGCGGAGCTAGTACTCAAAAACCGTTTCATAAAAAGGCCGTGCGCGGCCGGCCACAAGCAGTTGTCCCTTGGGCTCTGCGGTCACGCAACCAGGTCTCTAAGACCAACTCTAATCTACTTTCCTTTTCAGGTCCCTCAATAAACACCCTTCCACGTTGTGAGCAACCGCGAAGTGACATCCACCCTCATACCCGTAACAGCAGGAGAGACCAAACTGGTCACAAACAAATCCTTTCTACACCCCTTAATATCTCTCTTATCTCCACGACTAACTCTTCTCACATTCCTTTATCACAGTGCACAGCTAATGCAAACGATGCGAGTTCATGAGACGTTAGTCCTGGTCTCCTGAAATCTCGTTCCAAATTACATATTGGAGCTTTTAATGTCTGGACACTGTGTCAAATAGGGCAACAGGCTTCTTTAGCTAGGACTTTAGAATCGTGCGCCGTCGTTGTAATCTGCATCTCCGAAATGCGACTCGGAAAAGCGCACACAGGATCCTAGTAAAGTCATTAATTTGATTTCATCTTGTCAAAATAAAGAAGCAGCTTGATTTACTCTTCGTGTATCTAGAAGACTTGATGCTGCTTCCTGGGGTCTAGCTGGTGTAGGTATAGCATTGAGTCGTAGAGTTGAACAATCTCTTCTAGACTGGATCCCAGTGCGCTGTCCGACTGAAGGGGACAGTAAGGTTTTGGAAAGATAAGGAAACTCGCCGTTACCTCTTCGCTGTCTCTGCCTACGCTTCCACAGACTGCAGCTCAAACTAGGTGAAAGTTGAGTTCTACAGAAAGCTCTCCGACCTTCTCCAAAAAGTTTGGCACTCTGATATAGTAATAATGCTGGAGTAGGAAGACTAAGTGGTAAGGAAAGACACGTGGGCTGATGTTATGGTGTCGCGGCTCAGTGAACAGACAGTAGCGACTCTCTGTTGCGAATATGCTCAGATAACCGCCTATTCCTAGTAAACACTAACTTTAGGCATAAGGAAAAACATCTCTTGACCTGCCGACCACCAAAGTCGTCCCAACTTTGCACCCAACTGGGTCACATCGCCATCATCCACCGACGGAGGTGCTCGATAGAGGACCGTGGCTCATTCTGGGGCACATGTTTAGATTCAGATCATGCCCTAGTGCGAGCGCGTATTTGTTTGAGGCTTACAGGGCATAGGAAAGACACCGTAAGGAAGACTCTTGGGGTTTTACTAAATGATAATAAAGCTAAGAAAATATTTCGGGAGCAACTAGAAAGATATTAAGGCAGCCATGTAGTAAGTGATGCCCAGCCTAAGGAAGCTTGGAATGATATCGAAAAGGCTGTGCAAATAGTTGTGATTTCTGCTAGTAAGGTGAACCATATGTCTAGGAAGAAGCCGTGGATCTCAATAGCATCCACTGAACTGATAGACGTATGTAAACTCATCCCACCTCGCTATGGACATGATGAGCGAAATCAGCTTAAGCGCAGGTTGGTAAAAACCCTACGCAATGATCGTGAGCAGTGGCGGGTAGCGAAAGCAAGAGCGATGAAGAAGGCAGCGGCGCTAGGCAGTAGCAGACAGTTGTTCCGCCTTATCAAGGAAACCGGTATTAGGAATCCGAATGTGAGCGAGACTATATCGGAAAAGGATAGGATTAGTATTTATTCTCAATCCAGGAGATTGGACCGATGGGCAGAACACTTTAGGGATCAGTTCAACTGACCTTCAGCCACACTTCGGTCATCCTGAATGGCATGTCGAAGTAAGCCCTCCGAATCTTTATGAAGTTGAGAAAGCGTTAGGAAATCTGAAGCGAGGACGAGCTGCAGGCCCTGATAGACTGAACACTGAGATATTTAAGGATGGTGGTCCAGTTTTAGCAGCTAGGTTGACTGAGATCTTAGGTAGAATCTAGGAACTAGACGTAATTCCATTTGACTGGTCTCAATCACTGATTGTCTCAATTTACAATCAGTCCTCTTGCGACAATCACAGGAGAACCAGTCTAACTAATATAGTATTGAAAATATTGGCCTCATTCATACTCCGACTCTTAACGAAAGCTCTCGAAGAGCAGACTAGAGAAAACCAGGCTGTTTTTCGATCTAGATGTGGCTGTATAGACCAGATATGCACAATAAGTCAGGTCCTAGAACAAACACGCGTGCAGACCCCCCATAATTGTAGCATTTCTCAACTTTAAGGCGGCATTTGACTCTGTTGATGGTGAGGTTCTGTGGCCGTGTCTGTCAATAAAAGGTGTACCAGAGAAGTTCATTAACCTCAGAGGTAACAAACGCTTATCACCACCACTACATATTTTATTAAAGATGTCTCCAGAATTTCATCGATAGTAATGTTGAAGAGAAATGGTGAGATTAAGATAGTCCTAATACCATTGGTCAAATAGTGAAAGGTGGTTAAAGGTCGTCACTCTACTTGAGGTGTTTGTTTGCATATCCTCCAGGGTGCCAATAAACTTTTCAATCACACCGCTAAGCAGACAATCTCAGAAAACAGTCCTGTCTAACGAATTGAAGGAAAGCTTCATACCAGGAAGTACAACGATTGTTTACCTCCAATTATCTTTCCACCAGTAGCCCGCTGAATCAAAGTCCCTCTCAGTAATAGCCTGATCTAGTTGCTATGTCTAACTCAAGAACACTTCTCACTCAAACTGGAATTTATTTACGTGGTAGACCAGCATGCCTCAAGGAGTAATACAGAACAGAGACATTTCATAAAGCCACTATTTTTGTCGTAACATTCAAATTCAGTCAGTGCACATTTACACGCTCTGGTGAATTAGCAACTAACTTGGGACTTAAATCGGTCTTATATTTAGTTTCAACATATGCTATAGCCGATTCTCTTATATCAATTCATTTAGGACAAAAATTTTGCTGGATAGTAGAACCATAGTACAAACCATGATCGGAGTCCAAATAGGCTGTCGCAAGTGATAACTGATGGACATTGATACTGGTCAGAAATTGGTTGTTGTCTACACAAAGCTCCAGAAGGCGGTCACCATTATCTGACCAGTGATCAGTGATTCCCAACGGTCGTTCAACCTGTTCATTCAAATATCTGAGTTGACAAGAGGGTACATGTTCATCGACCAGGGTAGCTGAAGAAACGTATCACATATTCCATTCTGTATGCATTAGTTAAGAAGCCTTATTGCTCATAAAGTTTGTTTTATCAGAAGAACTTCACAACTGAAGACTTGATTTTAATCGTAACAGTTGTCATGTTTTGTTAGTTTATAATACTCGACAATATTTTTGAAACTTTTGTCACTGCAATAGTATTCACACCAACGTAATTTTATTCTCATGTCATTATTTTAAGGGATATGTGTTCGATCTACCTTCAGAGCATGATGAATTGATAAAGTCAACATGGACAGATGATACACAAGCCAAACTTTCAATACTTTCTGAAATTCCGGAATTAGAAGAGGAAGAGTCTTTCAATCGTTTCGGTAATTATGGATCCTGGCAAAATAGATCTAACGGCATTTCAAGACAGCCATTTAAACGTTCTTATAATAATGGTACTTTCAATAGTTCATTTAGAAACTCAAAGTCCTTTAAATTTGATAACAGTTAAATAAACTCTTGTTGTGAATTTTGATCTTTGTGATATCCTATATATATTTGTGTGGATCAACATGTGTATGTTTCCTATAGCTGTCAGACTAGATATCATCATATCACGCTAATAATGTTCGCTGTTTGATTGAGAAAATGTAGGTTATGATGTTATGCAGATGCTTATGAAATAGAAGCCGTGCCTTGCAAACTGAAAAACAAATTGTTAGGTTTCTTTTAACTCGATCTCGTTTAGTGATCTGAAAGATAAATAACATCTACATAAGTCGAGTGCAAAGGATTTAATTATATCCGCTTATTATGTACTCAGTAATTAGTTTTCAACAGTACTGCTATCTAGTAGATACAGTTTTTTTTGTAAACTAATCTCATCGTTCCTTTTAATTTATCAGGTTGACCTTAAACTTTTATATCTTACTACAAAAGATTTGCTTTTTATGATCAAACATCAAAGTATTTTCCTTTTCATCAAAACCAATTACCTTTTCCATCAAACGTAGTGAATATAGATAATAACTTCAAAGTTTGCATCAGTAAAAGTGGAGTGAAATCAGTAAATGCAATCGCGATCACAATAATTATCATCAACTTATGTTGAAAGTTCATTGTGATTTAAACAGACCCTATTAATTAGTTAAATAAGCATTTAGATTATAAGATTTCAGTGATAAGAACAAAAAGCTTACTGATAGTTTGCCAGTCATGCTGTAAATTAAGGTTTTATCTACCGTTTAAGGAGTTTTAACTGACATTTTAAATCCAAATTTTCAGAGAATTTTCAAGAACAAAGAATTACAGTTCATCTTTTATATTTCTAACTGCTGAATTTGAGTAATCAAATCCTATTATTTATTCTGTAATCCATTAACTATTATGCAACAGTATATGGATACTTTATAAGGTTAATGAGTTGTCAGGTAATATTTTGACGTATATAATCACACTACTCATGATCCGTACGAATTTGTTTTTTAAAGTTTGTAGTCAGCTTTGATGAAATCATAGGAAATGAGATTGCCGACCAATTATTCGATGGTGAATAAGTTTCTGAGATCAATGTGACGCACGAAAAATGCTCGAGGATTTCTTACAGGCTACTGCATAAGTTACTGGTTTCTCCATCTATCACAACTCAATTCTAGTTTATAATTCAAACGAATCAGTGTGGTTATCATGTCTGTATATTATTCAGCAACGCACAAAATACAGATCTCATATTTTAATTTGTAATACCGATAACAGAATCGTCTACTTGCATATCTTTGGAAATTTTAATTCTAAAGGAATTTAATCAGTAGATTTTTGTCAGCTGATTTCACTACTGTTTTTGAAATATCGCAGCAAACCTGCAACTTAACACCTTCATTTCAAAACAGATTTTTATCATGTAGGTGGTTTTCGTGCTTCTCCGGATAATATCAATGCAATTACTTGGTTATGCTGGTCATTTTCTTCTTTACCACCAGAATAAAAACTTCCATCCTGAAGCTTGTCTTCTCCAGTCTGCTTCCAGTGGGCTTAACTCATCTCAAGCGGAACCAGGTTGTTTCTTCTCATTTCCATCGCTATCTGAATGATCGTCCTAGTCTGTTACATTGTCCGGACACTACTCAGTCTTATGACCTGCATTAACACTAACGGAGATTCAAGTAATGTTTTTAATCCATCAGCAGTACTACAAAATAATCACAACAATCTAATTGTTAATGTCAACTGAGTTTGATAAACAGAGATTGCTGAACTGATCCATGATAAATAATGGTACTATGAAGTCTCGTGTTCGATAGGCTATGAGGTTAGCGGTTCACTTAATCTTACTCAACACTCTTGGAATACCATTGGGCAGCTCGGAAAGAATGAATGTTATCATCTCTTATCTGTTTCCTGCCAACAACAGGGTTAGGTATGATTACTCAGTCTAATTATTTTTCCTTAATGTTATCAGTAACCTACAATCTCTGAGTACTTAGAAGTCAATCTTGAAAGATCTCATACCCATGTTATCACTTGTGAATTATTTGTACTTAACACTCACCACATAATTCCTTCGTCATACTTCATGTTTTTTAGCCAATAAGAATTGTTTGCTCAATCATGTTTTTAGTGGGTGACAGTCGATTTATTATAACGGAAAGCGGTAGTATTTGCAAACCGTTATTGCTCTTATTATTACTCTCCTGATAACTCAATATTTTTTGTTAAAATTCCCTATCTGGTTGTATTTTGTCCGGAGTTTGTTATTATATAAGTCAACGACTACATTTTATGATATTATTATGAGTTATTTTATAGAATTTCATGCTATCGAAACCAAACTGTGCATTTATCTTAAACTTATGCAGAACTCGATTTTTTGCGGCAAATAAAATGAATTTTTGTTACTGAACACCTTAGAGTTGACATTAGTTTAACAAAGTATGGTGATAACCATAATGTCCGTTCCCATGAAAGCTAAATCTGATTAATGTGTTTAGTTTCATAAGTTTGATTATTGTTGTCACTATCTCCTACTGTCGTGTTCGTGTGTTATTCGTAATTATATGTTTGAAGCCGTTTATTTTTGTCGAACTTTCGTTCGAAACGGCAAAATTTTTCTTCAAAAATGATTTTGTCCAGATTTACTGATTTACTTCTTGATTGTTTCGACCTTATTATCGTTATTATTATTATTATTATTATTATTATTATCACCGTAATTGTTTCGTAATTTCTTCATTCATTTCATTCTAATGTATTTACCAAATGAATTTAATTTCAAGAATGACCTCACCACATTTTGATTCATTTACGAGATATACTGATTTACGAAGCAGATAAACAACTAATAATAACAATCTTTTTGGCATAGAAAGTTGGCATAAAAACATCCTAACGGGTAATGAAAAACAGCTTTCTTATTCAAAGAATTAACTATTTTTACTTCATACTATTTCTATTAATCATATTCTCTGTATTCCAATCACTGAGCATTTAATATTTTCATAATTTAACTAATGAACCAAAAGATCAGTCAGTTTGAAGTGATGAAGTTATATCGTTTCAGTAGATTGGGATTTTGAATTTTCTAATACCTGTGTGGTAATGATAAGTATTTGCAGTCCACAAACATGTTTCCACTAGAAGTCCCGGTGTTTTAAGAAATTTTCGGTTATCGCTTGTTCTCAGTAAAAATATTCCATAATGTATCATTAAGTGTGATTAGGTTTGTCTACTGATGTTAGATGGTGTCAAGTATAAAATATGGAGTATCAATATAGTTGATCGCAAATGTTGCTGCGCAACTTGTTAACGTCGGTGCTTGGATGATTGATTGCAAGTAAAGTAGTTCAGTACGGATGCGAAAGACGGACTGGGATTTGTTAACTCGTGTCACTATTTTAGCAAACAGTGAAAAGTTTTTGATTCTTTTAAATGTTTGTTGTATATCCTACAGAGCATACGAGCACGTATGTTGTATCTACCACTTTATTTCACATTACTTGATATCAGATAAGGTCAATAAAAGTGTTAATGTCAGTGGCAACAGTAGCATTGAGAATACTAGTAGATATAGTATTTATTCATATACACTTAACAACTCACATTTGGTGCAACATGTAGGTAGAGATAGATAATGTAATCAAAGAGGAAAATTAATTGTATAAGTAATAGGTTCAACAGTAAACAGCAAATGATGCCTTCAAAATTAAACAAAAGTAAATAAGAATATAGAAACTAGGATTAAGACTGTGATAGTTATATTATGCTTGTTACTGATATAGTGTTTACTTTTATAACTATATTCTAAGTCACACAATTCGGTTGCTTTTGTTCAAATGGATGTCAAATAAGATTCTCACCCCAATGACACCGTCATTACACTTTCATGTATCAGGATCTAAGTTTTAAGAGTGCTTGTTACTTTTTTCAAAAAAAACATGACTACATAATGTTCAACAGTCATCACTGAATGTCAGTTTATTGTATTTAGTTGGAAGAAATAGATATTATGGAGGAAGTTTCTTATTCAGAAGGGAATATTATTTAGGACAGTATACAAATATCTGGCGAATTCTATCATCTATTATTGTGCGTTATTGTGGTAACTTCTGAATTCGACACTACAGATCGGTGAAAATTGGGAAGGAATAAACTGTTGTTTTGTCTTAGTATGGAACTCCTATTAAGTACACATCTGTCACTGACTGCGGTTAAGCAGTATGGACCACTGAATTTCAGTTCTGAGGAGTGAGTAATCTCAGCGAGGCCTGGAAGCCGTAGGTTCGACCTCTGATGGAGTCGTGGATGCCTACTGCTGAAGAGTCATATAATAGGACGAAGTAGCTGTTCTGTGCTTTGTAATGTTTTTGGTTTTCTAATCAAAATCATACCGAAATGTGAGACTTCAAACTATCTCCATCAGAGCTTTTCCGGACCGTTAATAAATAGGCTGTGATATGTTTAGAATCACTAATTCCACTAACTGTCTACTGGACAGAAGTTCAGTATTTGCACTGTTGTTGTGACGAAGTTCGATTGCCAAACTTCATACCACAGTTACTTAGCCAAATGGTTTAACTCCGTAAATTGTCTTATTTAATCTTGAACGTTGTAAACAAATTTATAGTTTTAAAAATGTCATTATCACCAACTAAAAAAATAGAAGTAGACCAGAAAAAGTGAACGGAAAAATTAGTCAAGATTTGAAGCTGCGTTGTTAAAACTAATCATTAAAAATTTAAAATTCAACGTATGTGTGAGGAATCTCAATGTTTAACTGCTATAGAATTGTTTCGTTAAGCAATGTGTAACAGATAACTGAAGCTGCTTTTATAAATATTTATAATTAAGAGAAAACTCATATTTTACATCAATCGAGAGCTTACTTGCATCGATTTTGTCGTAATGAAAATCTGTAGTAAATCTAATAATTTTCTTCTTGTATATTCATTTTCGTGGCATAACTTTTTATCAAGTTTATTTTAATCGGTTGTTCAATAGTCGGATATTATTATGAGACTGATAATCGTTTCATACTCCTATTTGTTAACTGATTCATGTTAACAGGTATTCCATCAT